CCAAACAGCACCCCTTGTGGGAGTCTTTCCCATTTCTTCCTGCCTAACGCCTGATCTGTATCTTTACTAAGTACTCACCAATCACATTGTCTTATAATTAGTTGCTCAGCTGTTTGCCCCCAGAGTACAGGTGAAGCTCCTTGGGCAAATTGCATGTTCCTTGAGGGTAGAGATGTCTACTTCCTTTTTGATTTCCCACTATGTAAGGCCATTTCCTGGCACCATACAAGTGTTCTCTAAATGTTTATCTCTCATTTTCTTTTGAAAAAAGAGGGTGTTAAAAATCACAAATTGCAAAAGAATATTAACACCTGCTGTATCGGTCAGGTTAGGCTAACTGCTATGACAAACTTCAAAATATCAGTGGCTTAGGAGAGTATAGTTCAATATCTCCTTTGTATTTCAGTCTAAGACCATTTAAGGTGTGTGTATGTTGGGTGAGGGGGGATAAGAATGGGGAGGGATATGCTCTGCTCCTCACAGTCATTTAGCTTTTAGGCACTTAAGCTTTTGCCTCAGGTTCTTGGGTTCTCCCGAGGATTTCCTGCCCGCATTTCATTGGCTGGAACTCAGTCACATGGCACCACCTCACTGTAAGAAGCTGGGAATTGAAGTGCAGCTCTGTGCCAAGGGAGGAGAGGAGAACGTGGGTACTGACCCATGGGCACGAGCAGTTTCCGACATACCTAGGTTGTAAGACACAATGAATGGCTTTCTGCAACCATGACAAAAACTCAGGGGGTGTTGATCCAGCTAAAATTTTCAGTCAAGACACTGAAAGCTGTGTATGATATTAAATCTTTGAGCCTTTAAATCCCCGAACATGTTTTAAAACCAGGGTTACTATTCAGAATATGTGCAAATATTATTTTTGTATTGCAGCTGAAGAAATCTTGATAGCAATTAAAACTAGCAACCAGCTGCATGGATGCAAAGGCGTTTGCATTGAGCAGATACAGACACCAGTTACTTCAAACAAATTCCACACAGATTCCTTCTCAATCTAGGATTGCACCCAGCATTTAGATAATGTTTATACTTGGCTCCAAAAGGAATGTTTCAAACTGAACTAGTTCTGTTCATAAGAAGATATTACTAGTGAGGAGATACTGTGTCAGTGGCAGCATAGCATTTGGACCATTTGCCCCAAAGAGATTTGAAATGTCATGAATAATATGTTGAACTCCACAGTCTTAACACAAAAGACAAGATTTTAGTTGTGGAACAATATAGTGACATTCTCCAAATCCTTACAGCAATTAAAAATCAAAAGCAATTTGAAATTTGAATTCAGAAGTGAGTTTAACTTGAAATTAGAAGTGATTTTCATTTTAAAAGGGGAATGGCACTTAGGGAAAAGCCTCAAGTGAGAAAACTGTGGAAATAAGAGGACCGGAAGCTGATGAGATGCTCTATCTAGCAAGAAGCAGATGATCTGACCTATCGATTCGAGCCGCAGCACTGGAAAGAAAGGCAGAAGAAAGCCAGTGTCTGGGTCCCCCCAAAACCCACTTTGAAGCCAGGACTTAGGGAGCAAAGCCAGGATGTCTCTCACAAACGCAACCCCCCAAGTGTGTTCCTGCAAAAATCCTTGTAATAGATTCGGCGGAGGTGAAAATGAGAATTCCAGTAAAGGTGGCAATTTGGAATCTTGGGTGCATTCCACAAGAAGGGGCGTATATTTGCACTCCAGGAGTGTATTTTATCAAGGGGGTGCCCAATGTTTGCTAACACTGAGAGAGTAGGAACGCCTGGTTCCTCCGTGGGTCTACCGGGCTGCCATCGTCATGACGACCTACCTTGCCTTTTCCTGGTAATGCTCTCCGATCCCCCTTCCATTGTTTCCAGTGTGGCTGACCCTGCCCATTGGCTCCAGGGCTGAGCATGTGACTGAGCCCAACGAATATTTGTCTGGTGCTACAGGGAAAGAGGCATTTTTCTCTGGGGGTTACTCAGCTTGTAGAAGGGAAACCCGATCTATTGGTGACCATTTGGTCTCCAGAAAGGGTGAGTTTGTCTGAGAATGAAGCCAACACAGAGGAAAACAGAGACAAGAAATGGACATCCCTAACAACCTAGTTTTGAGCACCTGGATCAAGACATACCTGACATCCTCCCGTGGTTTTTAAAATATTATGTGAACCAAGTTTGTTTGTTTTGTTTTGTTTTGTTTTTACTCAAGACAGCCTGAATTGGATTTCTTATAACAAGCAGTTAAAAGAGCCTCATTACACTGACATTTGATAAACTATGGTTATTTTTTTCATTCATTCAATAAACATGTGTTGAGTCCTTGCTGTATGCAAGGCACTGTGCTGGAAACTGAGAATAGAAAGCCAGTTAGCACTCCCTCAAGGGGTTATACCCAGTGGAAGAGACACTTGAACCAGTAATCACCACAATAACAATTTGTATGGGGCATTAAGTCTGCACCTAACTTTACCTGAGAGTGGAAAATGTCATGCTAAGCTTCATGGAGAGATAATATCTGAGTAAGGGAATATTTCTTGAGTGGTTAAAAAGAAAAGGAAAATTACCTATGTAACATGGGGTGACCAGAATTTGAAAATTCCAAAAGAGAGAGATTGACAGGCTGTGGAGATGGCAGGGGTGGCTGTGGAAGAGGGGAGTTGATGGGTCTTGTTGAACTGGAACCCTCTGGCTCACCCTGACATGTCATTTTCTCAGTGCGCTAGCTTTTTGTGTGCTTCATCATTGAGACTTGCCTCCCATGTCCTAAATGAGCCCTTTTCCCACACCCAGGCAAGGACATAGCAAGGGGCAGGGGCAACCTAATGTACTTGTGCCCATTCTGCTTATGCCATGCTGGAATCTGCCCACACATGAAGAAACACATAGTAAAACTATGGTGTTCACAAGCCATGCTCAGCAAACCTACAGAAAGAAACTTGTGGTAACACTGAAGGAGAAAAATATCCCACAGGCATGTCTGTGGTAACCCCATAAACTGGTTACCAGGGATATTTGTCCCACTCTGTATGCCTTCAGGGGGTTTCCTGCATCTGGCCTCCTGGCCTGGCCTTGGGGCTCCCTGATGTCCAGAAGGCAGAGGTCACCCTGAGGTCCAGCCAGGGCCTTGTCTGTTGAGAATTTGCTCACAAATCCCTTCGGGGACTTCCAGGCCCACTCATTCCTGGAAATCAACATCCTTTCCCTTTGCTACCTCTCTTTTTTCATCCGTGTATGCCTCTGAACAGTATCTGTGTCTGAAAGAATGAGGCGGGTGCTGTTCCCACCAGGTTCCAGGCTGCTCTGTACATGCTCTTCCGTCCCTTCCTCTTTAAGGCAGGGATCCGTGCAGGTCAGCAGTACTGACACCAGCGCTCCCAGTTCTGGGATGGTAGGGTTACTGGGACATGAAGTCCTAGAAACCTCCAGTGGAATCTGGGACAGCTGATCATCTAAAATTATCTTGTAATTAATAAATGATTCCCTACTTCCGACTAAGTGGGGTCACCACCACATTCTAAAACTATTTGACACTGTTAAGCCTCTCGTTGAGGGACAATTCTGGTTCTGTGCATTTATACAAAATGAACCAATGAATAACTCCTTTAAGAGAACCCTGTGCCAACTCAAAATAAACACAAAACATTATGAGGTGCCTCATTTGGTCCCCCAAATGGACTTCCATCTACCCCTCTGCTATGTTCCTATAACCATATCCATGTTTGGTAGAGCCTTTCTCAGTACAGCCTCATTTATTTTCTTTTGCACAGAAGCCCTTAGAGAGCGGGGCCTCCCTCCCTCTCCCCACTGCTGCAGTGCCCTGGTTCTCACATGCAGGCCTGGCCCGCTGTGGGCTCTGGAAGCAGAATCAAGTCCATTAGAACATAAGCTCATTGTCTTATTCTGGGCCATATCCCCAGAGCCAGCAAAGTGACTGCCACCTAGTAAACTTTCAATAAGCATTTGTTGAATGAATGAATGACTTTCCGATTGCTGTGCACCAACACCTCACCTTCCCTTGAAGTTTACTTGGCTGAGCCTATTTTTAGTCTTCTGCACTCCCATCACCTGCCAACGATGGCCTGTCTGTGTACCTGACCTGGCATTTCTAGTGTGGACCCCCTACCCCCTTGGATTTCTCATTGCCTGGCCCTACTACCTGTGGGCTCATCTTGCTCCCTAAGTGTTGTATGTCTGCCTAGCCTTTCTCACTGTCAGCATCCTCTTTGGACACGTGTTTAATTTCCCAGACTGACCCCTCCACATATCCCTCCCAAGCCCTTCCTGCAGGGGCCCAGATCCCAGCTCTGGACTGTCCTAAACAGGAGTTTCATTCCAACTTTCTCACCATACCTACTGGGCTCCATAAATACAGATGAACTGAATTGTATTATTTGGTCTCTCTCTTCAGGTATCAGCTAACTCAGGGGAAATGTAATTATTTTTGCAAAACTGAAATCTGGTGCCCAGTTCCATAATGTGCATCTTATTCCAATTCTACCCTAAGAGGAGACTGCACACCTACTGTGTGCTAGGCACGGTAGTGCATTTTCCCCCAAATTGGACACCTGTGTTGCCCTTTAAACTCCGTGTGCATACCCACCTTACTGAGGTCTTTCGGCAGTGCTTGGTTTGGGAGCCTTACAGTAAATTGTGTGATAAAATCAATTCATAAAATTTGTCCTGGAAAAGGAGTACATGAGTCAAGTTCATTGTGATTAACTGGCGTGTGGCTTAGTTTTTTTTCCTTTCTATTAACACAGTTAAAACTCACTCTAATCCTCGTATTTCTAGGAGGCCAGGAAATGTATGAATGGACCTATAGACAGATTAACAGGATGGGGGGCATGTTTGTCTAGTTAGAAATTAAAGTTTACCATTAACTAACTGCTTCACTGGTATTCATGCTATGTAGTTTAACAGGAAGCGCTAGGGCAGCTGAATCCAATAAAGAACTCTTTTGTCTCTGGAATTCCAGGAAATCAGATATGAAGGGGCAGGAGGGAATGTGCATGTTTAGGGGGCTGACAGGTACGTACTCAGTGCTCGTAGCTGGATGTTTGGGGGATATGCGCACTCACATCACCCCAAATCCCAACCTGCAGACAGGACGAGCTAGATCTCCTCTCCGGGACCCTTTCCTGCTCTCTCTTTGGTGCATTAGTCTCACCGTCAGCAGACATCCCAGGGAGCTTTATGCCCCAGCTGAGCAGAATTCATGAGGTTGGCTGCCGCCTTTCCCAGGACGTTGAGAAAAGAGCCTCCCCTACACTTGGGCTCCTAGCATCATCTGCCTTTGTTAGAACTGCAAGAGAGAAAAGTTTACAACGGGTTCTTCAGGGGGCTCCTTTTCCACAAGCTGCACATTTCTAACGAGAGGCTGCGGTAACAAAGCTGGATATTTTCTTTCAGGTGAGTTCCGATGAATTGGCTCACGGAAGGGAAACACGAGCACGCTGGCGCACGCTGGGACAAGGATGGCACCACCTTCTGGGCACAGCCTCCTTCTGATCAGCATGCTGGGCATCTTGGCACTCGACTGCTTCACAAGTGGTCAGAAGAACAGCACACTCATTTTCACAAAGGAAAACACCATTCGGAACTGCAGCTGCTCTGCAGACATCCGGGACTGCGACTACAGCCTGGCCAGCCTGATGTGCAGCTGTAAAACTGTCCTGCCCTTTGCAGTAGAGCGAACCAGCTACAAGGGCCGTCTGACTATCTGGTTCACAGACACATCTGCACTGGGCCTCTTGTTGAACTTCACCTTGGTCCAGGACCTGAAGCTTTCTCTGTGCAGCACAAACACTCTTCCCGCGGAGTACCTGGCCATTTGTGGTCTGAAGAGGCTTCGCATCAACACCAAGGCCAAGCATCCCTCACCAGAGCAGAGCTTACTCATCCACAGTGGTGAAGACAGGGAGCCCAGAGACAAACCCCTGCTGTCACACACAGGCTGGCAAACATGTACGTATGTCTCATTCTTAGATTTGGCACTTTTCAACAGGGAGTCATCCCTAAAATCATTTAGTATTGACGACGTTGCCAGCATGGCCAACAACTTTCCCTACTTTTCTCACTTTAAAACCTTCCCAATTCTAAGCAACAAAAGCTACGTTGTCACATTCATTTATTAACATTGTCACTGTGTCTGACCGCCAGGAACTTTGGCCAACTATGGATAAGTTGAACAAGGAATGTGGGGATAAGGCCATGGGTAACTCTACCCACAGCTTTGCCTCTACCCCAGACCCCCGCCCCCTCCATCACAGCAGAGCCACACATAGAAATACCCGACCCTCTCTGCTCCTCTCTGTGCCCAACCATGGGAGCTGTTTTGAAAAATAAAATAAAGAGAAACCAAAAAACAACGTGGTTCAGTCCAGAAACGTGTTTTGAGGGCCAGGTAGAGGCTAGGTTCTCGCTGGTATGGGTGGGTCTGTGTAGTAATGTTAGACTAGAAATGGAGAACGCAGTGTACACCAGGGGCCGCTTAGTGGAGACTGGCATAGGGGATGATCCCCAAGGAAGGTATCTTCCTTCAAAACATGCCTGCATTAATTGTAATAGATATGTATGATATTGGGGGGAAGTGGGGCGGCGGATTGGGGGAGGGGGGTTGTCACTTCGAGGGGTAAAAAGTATAACTATTGCACTGTGTTGTACAGCTGAAACTAATTCTAAAAAATGTGTGTTTCATAATAAAAAATAATTAAAAGAAAAAAAAATGCCTGCATTATTTTCTGCGCCATTTTGTTACAGCACATGAAATTCTCCTAAATGGAGAATTGATAGAGTTCAGAGGTTTCAGGACTGTGAGTCCCACAAGATGATTAGGTTCTCTTAGACTGGTATTTTCCAAATACCTTGCTCAGAACAGATGTGTTGAGAAAGGGGAGTTTTGTGAACGTGTTTGTGGGGAGGGAAAGAAGGGTAGAAGCTTCGAGGCAGAATAGGCCTGGATAGTGTGGAAACTTAAGACCAAATGAGGGCACTGGGGTTTTGAAGAGGGGGAAATAGAAGCAAAAATTGGGGGACACAAAACCAATTGCATATACCTCAAAATTTTGCTGAGAATCACGAAACATTTTCCTCTTTCATTTCCTTCTCTCTTTTTGCCTCTTTCTATCTTTGTCTCAGATACATAACTTCCTCTACTTCTTCTCTCACTGTCTTCATCCCTCTCATCCTCTTTCTTCTGCTCCAGAAATTAGAACTTAGATTAATTCCCTAAGAACTATGTTTAGGGGCTAGCCTGGGAATCTAATAATCACTTATAACCTTATTCCTATGGGTAAAATACTCATACTACTAATAGGTAATTAACAAAAGAACTTTTAGGGCCCCATTTGGAAGTTTAAGACTGGAAAGTTTAAGACACTTTGTATGACCTGGTTAACACAAAATGGTTATATGTGTATTGACACAAGGAACTAAAGCAACATTTAAAAAAAAATTTAAACTGATTCGTCATTGTACAAAGAAAATTTTCCTTCACAGAGACCCAACTTACTATTCAAGTGGAATATAAAGAATCCATGGCAATTGTGGTACAAATGTCTAAACTCAGAGCGCAAAGAAATTGAAACGTTATTGCATTCATGCTACCATAATGACAAGAAATAGTTTTATTATGAAATACGAGGGTGTCTTGGAGTGGATGACTTTAGATCACATTCATCATATTTTTCTCTTAACCTTAACATAGGGTAACTGAAATAACCTGAAATGTCTATAATGCTTAATTGGTGGGGGATCTGGCCATTCAGGCTAATTGGCATGAGTCCATAATGTCAGTGTTTGAATTAGGCCACAATGAAGGCCAAAGTATGAATTTTAATAGGAAAATGTAATGACCTTATTACTGACATTATACTTGACAGGTAAGATTAAAGTGATAGAAAAAGACAAAGAAGGAAAGAATAGGGAGGGAAAAGCAAGGCAAGAAGGATATAAGTGAAAAGATTAATAATAAATATATTTATTGTCATTAGTTACTTAAAATGTAAAAAATTGAATCTTCATGTATTTTTACTAGTAAAGTATAAAATTAAATGATGTTAGAAATTCTGAGCATCTTAATGTGCATATCTTTCACTTGGTGGCTTTTAATAGTGTCAAAGCCCTGTCACATATAATTTAAGGGATTCTTATAAGAAATAGCCATGAGGGTGCTGGCCGAGTGGCGTGTTGGTTAAGAGTTGGCTTGGGAGCACGAGCTCTGAGCAGCAGGGCCGCCGGTTCAGATCCCACATGGGCCAATGACGCTGTGCCCTGTACAGCTAAGATGGTGAACAGCAGCTCGACCTGGAGCTGGGCTGCTGTGAATCGCTGGAGACGGTGTAGGCTGCAGTGGGGCTGCAGTGGGCTGTTGTGAGCTATCGTGAGTGGCAGGCAGCCAGTGTGAGCAGGTGGCGAGAGCTGCTGTGAGCCGCCGTGAGTGGCTATCCAATGGTTGGCGACTGACTACCTCACCTGGGAATAGCGTAATGATCATAATACCAACAGGGGCCAGTGAATCCACGTCCTCCACAACTAGACAGAAGAACAATAGGACAGCAACTTGTCTGTTCTCCTTCCCCAATTCCCCAACGCTGTTCCCCTCCCCCAATTCCCCAATAAAATCTTAAAAAAAAAAGAAAGAAATAACTGTGAGTCAATGCGATTTAAGTCAATAGAAGAGGAATGTTAGTTTAGTTATAAATCAAGCTTGAGGTTGCCAGATTTTGGACTGAAAATGTGGTTCAGGTTTCACTGACAGAGGATAAACATGTGGGAGAGAAAATCCACAACACATACACAGGGGAGGGGGAGAGAATGGCATTTGGTGCTCAGCTGCAGAGCTGGGGGGACAATAGGAAGTCATGAGGATGGTGGTAAACTGTCAGTGCCCACTCTCCTTGAAGGGTCCGCAGTAGCCCAGCTTCGGCTGACTGTTGCCATGAGAGAATACAAGGGGGCCAGATCCAATCCTTCAAGAGAAGTAGGTATTCCAGGTTTTTATGTGAAATCTCACAATTTGCAAATGTTGGCACACTTTTCCTCTTTTTGGTTTGTTTATTGCTTTCAATAACATTGTGTGGGTCAAACAAACTATGTCCATGGTCCCCATCAAACCTGGGACTAGCTTTTTGTCACCTCTAATCAGTGCTGTGCTCGTAAAAGTTTAACCACCAGCTCTCCAAAAAAGAGCACACACTCACACACACACACACACATATATATATATATATATATATATATATATATAATAAATTTTACTGATATAAAGGATGTGTAGCACACAATTTACAAATGATAATAAAATATGTGATAATCTTCATTATAAACTCTATGTGCAGAATTAGTTCTCAAAGAATGCTTTAGTTGATTTTAGCCAAACTCTTATATCCAGAGCCAACCTAGGGTACAACTGATGAGCGAGTGTAGTTCTGGCTTGAATGTTGGTTATTTTCATTTATGTGAGGAGTAAGAAGAAAGTAAAACAACAAAGATTTATGTGGGAAAGCAACTTCTTTGCTGAATCAAATAATAGTTTTTAAGTACTGGAGGAAAATTTCCTCGATTTTGGGGACTAGTCACAATGTAGAAGCTGTAGACATGATACACTTTTAATTTTAATCTGCATGGTTAACATTTTCTCCATCACACACAACAAAAGAATAATGCAAACCCTGATATATAGCATTGACCAATTTTAGTGGTGTGAATACTGCCACCATCATCAATTTCAAGCTACCAAGAGAAGTCATTGAAGACAGAGTTGAGCAAAGATGCACAGTAGGACATCATTATAGAGCATTTCGACCCTACAGATACAAAAGGCACAAAAAAACCCTCTAGAACATAAATAATAGTAAAATGCAGTAGGATAATTAAGAAGTGATGAGTTCTGAGGAGTTCTTTTCTTTGTTTTTATAAGACTTATTTAATGGTAAATTTATATAACTTAATTTTTAATAATGACTATTTAACAACCAGCTTGCAAAGTTCCTGAAAATTTAACAGTCAACTCTTATGAACCAGTACAAAGGCACCCCAGCACCCCACTGATGCAGGTAGAAAGATAAAGGAACTCAAGATGATGACTTCAGGGTGTGAGGAGTCACTTGCAGTATTGAAATGCCCAATTTTCCCACTTTCCAGAGCTAGAGGTGGGAATTTTAGGAAATTTGCATTCAGCATACAGCAGCCTAGACTTCAGCATTGATCAGCATACAGCAGCCCACACTTCAACATTGAGAGTCATAATCCTGAAAGCCTGGGGTGGGAGATGGGGGTGGGGATTGGTTGAGGAACTTAAGGCCTTGTGAGAAAAATGAGATAGGGGTTAAAACTCTTGAGTGAAACTTCGAAAGCCCCCTGAAAGGAAGGAAGGAATGAAAAAAATATATAATGGCATTTTATACAATTTAAGTTGAAAATGGGAGTTGGACAATCAATTTCCATTTCTCAGACTTGCTTACTAATAACTTTTGGATCTGTTTCTCTCTCTCCCTCTCTCCAGAATTTACAGGAGGACATTTGTCAATCTGATTTGATTTGTTACAGAAAAAAAAATGTGAAAAGGCCTTTTTGTTTTATGCTGAGCCTGTTCTCTTCAAATGTTTAATGCATTTTAAATTTGACAGAGTCTCTACTCATAACTCAGAATGATACACAAGTCATGTATACTCAATCTAGACGTTAGGGAAACAAAGAGGGGACGCTGGCTCTACAGAGAGGAGAATGTACCATAAATGATGGGTATCACCAATTCAAATGACAAAGACACAACAACACACAGACAAATAAATGAAGCAGTAAGGACAGCTCAAAAATAGATCCCAGGTTTTTAAAAATTAGTACATGTTAAGAGTAAAATCACAAACCCATGGGAAAAGGGAAGGTAATTCAATAAATGGTGTTTGAAGCCAATAAATAAATAAATAAATAAAAAGATTAGAAGGATATATACTAAAATATTAACAGTATCTGGGTATTAGAAGTGATTTCTAGTTTCTTTTCCCAGAGCATCTTGATTTAAAACAATTTTTGGAATAAACATAAATTCACTTTTGTAATAGGGAAAACCCAATAAGAGTATTTTTACATAAACAAATGATGCTAGAAAAAGTGCTTAGTACTTCAGATTACAGCCTTACCTCATAACAAACATCATCATGTTCAGTCAGATAATATTATAACGAAATTATAAAACAACTTTAAAATATGGGAAACAAAAATAAAAAGGCTAACAACCTATTAGAAAAACAGGGAATTAAACATGCAATTCACATGAAATGAAACTCCAGTATCTAATAACTGAATAATAACATTACCTCTACAAGAGAAATGCAATGGGATACTAACATTTCATCCATTAGATTGGCAAAAAATGTTACTTGATGTCAACTTTTGTTATGCTTGTAGGCAAATAGATATTCTCATTTAATGTTGGTGGGAGAATAAAATGGTACAGCCACTTTGAAGTACACTTTAGGAATGTGTTTTAAAATGCACACAAACTAGATCCAAGAGGGCTGAGTAGATAAACACTGTGCCTGTGTC